ATCCTGGCCCCCCGCCAGCCAGCCGTGTGTGCAGCAAGCGCCAGGATGCTGGGGCCTCTCCCGGAGACAGCCCTCTGCTCCAACACCTGCAGTTTTCTGGGGGGAATCTGACCCTGGGGTCCATAGAAGCCAAGAGACAAATACTTCTAGAAGCTTTCCATTCTGAAGGAAGTACAAGCACTACAATTTCTCAATAACTTGGCTATTAAAAATAGAAATTCCACCTACAGACAGAAGTCTGTTGGGGCTCACTGGAATCTGGAATAATCAGGTTGCTCATGTGGGGGGTGGGGCAGGAAGCAGCAGGGCTCAACGGAGCACTGTTTGAGGCAGGCGGCAGCCATCTGCAGCTGGAACGGCCACCCAAGGCCCCAGGAATCTCTGGAACTACAGGAATGCCCAACAGTGTTTTGCCTACTCATTCCCCCACACAATCTGTGAACAGCTGAGAAAGGCCAAGCACAGTGGCTCACACCTGTAATCCCAGCTACTCAGCAGGCTGAGATCTAAGGATTGTGGTTCAAAGACAGCCTGGGCAGAAAAGTAACACTCTTCTCTCCAATTAACCACCAAAAAAGCCTCGTAATGGCCACGTAGGGGAAGAGCCTGGGCCAACAGGAGGCAGGAGAAAGCGAATGAGACAAACTCCAATTCAGGGAATTCAAGTGGGGCAAGCAAAAAGCCACTGAAGCCCCTGGGCGCAGGTCTGGACTTAGGGATATGGTGGAGGTGTGGCATCTCCTCATCTGCTGAGCTCATTCTGGAAGCTACAAACCCACTGAACTAGAGGACCAAAATGGGCTAGGAATGGAGCCATAACGCGGGGGTGGGGGGGAGAAGGGGGGGGAGACGCTGTGGGGGCACAGGGGTGAGGTGGGCAGGACTCAGAGGCAGATGAGAGCTCCCCCTCCTGGCCATGGGGGAAATAGCAGCCTGGATGTGTCCTAGTCTGGAGGCTTGTAGGAAGAGATCACTACAGGCCACACCTGTGAGACTCCCAAATGGAGATGTCACACTGCACGGTCAGGAGCTCAAAAACCGTCCTGAGAGCAGAGATTGCACAGGCAGGTGTATGGAGGCTGGAAAAAGCAGAGGGGGTGGGGATAGCAAAGGGCAAAGGGCAAAGGGCAGGGGCAGGAGCCGGGCTCTGGAGTGCAGGTGAGGTTGTGAGGGCTGAGGCCTGCCCACCGGGCCCGAGGGGCCGGATGCCGGAGGGGCTGGATGCTGTGGCCGCACCGTGGGGTTCCAGGGCGGGAACATGCTCACTGGCTGTGGGACCTGGGGCAAGTCGCGTCCCCGCCTGTGCCTCCACTCCCTCACCTGTAAACGGGGTTGTGGTGGTAAGATGACGAGTGCACAGCGGGAGGCCACAGGAAGCAGCAGTGTGCGAGGCGGGGACAACAGCACAGCCACTGGGAACAAAGGCATGCTGGGAAGACAAAGGCATGCTGGGAAGAAAAGGTCTCAGCAGGAGTTGGGCGGGGCAGAGCAAGGTGGGCGATTCCCAGGAAAGGGCAGCAGCTGCCAAAGTGTCACACAGAAGTGACAAGAAGCCAAGATTTGCCAGGCACCGGCGGCTCATGACTCTAACCCTAGCTACTCAGGAGGCTGAGATTTGAGGATCACGGTTCAAAGCCAACCTGGACAGGAAAGTCTTGAGACTCTTATCTCCAATCAACCAATAGAAAACTGGAAGTGGCGCTGTGGCTCAATAGGTAGAGCGCTAGCCTTGAGCTGAAGAACTGAGGGACAGCACCCAGGCCCAGAGTCCAAGCCCCACAACTGACCCAAAAAAAAGCCATGATTTGGGTCCCAGCAACTTCCAAGGGACCAAAGGCCAGGCCTGCGCACTGCAGCTGCCTGTATCTTGGCTCAGCGACTGACCTGCCTCCTCCGTGGACCCTGCCAGGCTCAGCTCCGCTCTGAAGCAGGCCTGTGTCCCCAGCCAGCACCCCCGAGTGTTGGCGTGACTGGTCTGCCCCAACCCCAGCTAGGTAGTGCTAGAGCAGGGGCTGTGTTCACCCACCTCTCTGAACCACTGGGTCTGCCCTGAGTGGCTGGCGGGGAGGGGAGGGATGGCGGGGGAGGGATGGCAGGGGAGGGGGAGGCATTGGGTTGCCAATTCCTATCGGGGTCCCTGCTCCTGGTTGCTTCACTGCCAAGCCCCCTCACGAGAGGGACCTGCAGACCCCAGTGCTGGAGCTCACACCTGTAATCCTAGTCACTCAGGAAGCTGAGATTTAAGGATCACAGTTCAAAGCCAGCCCAGCCAGGAAAGTCTGAGTGACTCCTCTCTAATCCACAAAAAGCTGGAAGTGGAGCTGTGGCTCAAGTGGTACAGTGCCAACCTGAGCAATAAAGCTAAAGAACAGTGCGCAGGTCCTAAGTTCAAGCCCCAGCACTAGCATCTTTCAGGTGTATCTTTTAGAACCCCAGCACCCGAGCACAGTGCTCCCCTCAGACTCCAGATCCCAGCCCCACACACTGATAGCAGGGGGGATGGGAGCCGCCAGAGGTACCCCAGAACCACTACTTAGAGGGGGTCACCCACAAAAGATGATGAGGCGACACTGGCAGGCGTAGGTCTGGCCTTGGGCTGTCTCCAGAGCCTCAGCAAAGCCCCGTGCCTGTCCTCACAGCGCCCTTCAACGCCCCACACGGGGACTGCTGGGGACAGCGGAGGACGCGGGGAGGAATGAGTCTAAGAAAGGAGCCGATTGGGTGGCTGGAGAACAGAAAGTCAAAGAAATGGGGCCCAAGACAGCTCCACTGTTCCTGAAAGTTCTATGACATGTTTCCAATTCCCCAGAAACCCCTGGGACCTTCCATTCCCCAGAAGTTGCCGAGACTAAGAAAGCAGAAGCCCGAGTTCTATAACGGACACCGTTCAGTGCGCACCTCCCTGCTAGAAGGGAAGGATGAACTAGAAGCAGGGACACCAAGTCTTCTTAACTCCCTTTCCACCCCAACCAAGAGCTGAATAGAGCCGTGCGTGTGTGTGTGCGTGTGCATGCGTGTGTGTGTGTGTGGTGTACTGTGGCTTGAACTCAGGGCCTGGGCACTGTCCCTGAGCTTTTTTGCTCAGGGTTACCACTTGAGCTGTGGCTCTCCTTCTGACTTGGCAGTGGTTAATTGGAGATAAGTCTTGTGGACTTTTTCCTGCCCAGGCTAGCTTTGAACTACAATCCTCAGATCTCAGCCTTCTGAATAGCTGGCTGAGTAGAGCTTTCTGTTCAGTGGAGAAGTCTATTTCTAAGCTAGGTCACACAAATCCTTTTTTTTTTTTAAAGTGTAAAATAATCTAATAGCCAAGAAAAAAAGAGCTTTGTGAAATGCAAATCTAATTTCTGTCCCAGACAGATCCACCGCCTCTTTGCTGCCTCTAACATTCTAAATAAAATCTAGCGCCTTCGCCAAGAATAACTTCTACTTACTGAGTGTCTGAAAGCTGTGCCAGACCAATGCGATAGATGCTGTGGAGATGAGGCCCCAAAGGCTCGCGCTGGATGGAGGCTGAGGAAAATGTCCCAGGGCAGCAGGGTAATGGCAGAGCGTTAACTGAGAATACTCAACGCCACTGAGCCATGTATGAGCAAATTGGATGGTATGTGAATTTTATCTCCATAAAGCCTTTCTAAAACATACGCTTTCAGCGCTTCTCACAGTAGGTTCCTAGCCCTGATCAACAATGTGGAAACTGAGGCTAGGCAAGGTCAGAGGACGTTCCTAGACCCAGCCTGTGTGTAGACTGACTAAGGAAATGCATTTTTCAAAAGGGATTAGGCAGGATAGATTAGGGGAAATGAGGCATGGGGAACAGAATTCAGAAAGAAGCCATGCCATCTAGAAACACAAGACTAGGGGTTGGGAAGGTGGCTCAGTGGTAGAGTGCTTGCCTGGTATGCATGAGGCCCTGAGTTTGATTCCTCATAAGCAGAAAAAGCCGGAAGTGGCACTGTGGCTCAAATAGAGCACTAGCCTTGAGCTGAGGGACAGCGCCCAGGCCCAGAGTTCAGGCCCATGACCAAAAAAGAACAAAAAAAAAAAGAAACACAAGACTATCTTCCTTGGTTCTAAATTATACTGTTTCTGAATATCAAAGATGAACCTGCTAATAGCAGGATGTATTCTTTCCTCAAAGGGATACCCAAATATAATGGTCAAATATTTACAGCATAGGTCAGTCTCAGAGGCCCTGAGCTCCAATAATAAAATACAGCACAAAAAGTGACTAAAAGCAAAGATAAACTTATCTTTGTTTAACTTTAAGTCAGCCAGCCCCTGCCTTTATCATATATAAACCCAGATGTCCAAGGGCTGGGGTCTCCCTGTGAGCACCAGTTCTTGTCTCTGCCTTTCTGCCTGCTTGCTGTCTCACTTAACAGAAGCTCTGCCAAGTTCTTACCATTGTGACTTGTCCAAAAATTTATCCTGTGATCAAAATCAAGGACCTGATATTTCACAAGCACTCACCTGAACTCAGTGACGGCACAAGGCAGTTCTCAAAGCCAAAGGCACAGCAGCTGCCCGACAGGATTGGTGGGAGGAGAGGAGCCATCCTGGGTCATCTAGCCCCTGGGGACACAGAGGCCCAGGCACCTGACCACACCCAGCCTCTAGGTCTGTGCTAGGGACCCACAGGACACAAAAGGCAAACACACACACACACACACACACAGGAAGCAGTAAACAGCTTCCGGTTTAACACCTTCATTACTGAGCCTGGGATTCCTGTAGCTCTCAGCTTTCCCACAGGCCATCTGCCACCCTCCCCATACAAAGTCTGCTTTCTCCTCTGGAGGCACCATGAAGGGACATCTGAGCTTGTCGCGGGGTTGGTGGAAGTATATGGTCAGCCCTGTTTGGGGCTGTCTTGGCTGCTCAGCAGGCTGAGATCAGAGGATGCCGGTTCTAAGCCAGCCAGGCGGAAAAGGCAGCTCCAGAAGTGGGCTGCGACTTCCATCTGGAGCTAAGGCAATCACTTTGGTGTCACACAAGCATAAGGACCACATATCCCAGATTTATTAATGTTCAACAACAATAATTTAAAGGCAGAAAAGGATCCCATTACAGGAAATGAAATATCGACAAATGATGAAAACTGATGAGCGGTCAAACAATACAATCAGTTACCAATGTTCAGAGTGGCGCCAATGGTCAATTGTGCATCTTCCACATAACATCCTGTTTTTCCCTCCCCAACAAAAGCAGATGAAGCCAAGCTAGCTCTATGAACTGCGCAGCGAGTCCCTACTTCTACCTGAAAGGAACGCACACGGGCAGGGCACCAAGCGCTGACGTGCCGCTGCCCCCGCTGCCCCCTCCACCACGGAGACCACCAGGTGGCCTGGCATTTAGACAAATGGTAGAATTACAGTAACAATGTTAGCAACTTTAAGATAATACTGGGCCATTTTTTTTTCAATGTACAAATAGGTTAAACCTAAAAAGACATACTTTTTAAAAAGTTCTAAATTTGAGGAACAGAGTAAACATAAGTCGATCAAGTCTCAACAGTACCTATTCACACACAAAATCAGAACAAACACAACTTTTAGAAGAGCCCATTTCAGTCCTGGCGGCAACAACAGCAGGAACTTGGGAGGGTCCTTTTCTTCAGGGCTGATCTAAAAGCTTGTTAATACTGCCTTAAGTCAGGCCTACCATGCCCTTTCTAAGAACCTATACCTACCAGAAACTGGACAAAGTACAATTGGAAAACTACATTACTGCCTTTCCCAAGAATTAAGACCTAACCACTGGCAGTATGCCCAGATGAGGTCTCAATTCCTAATGATGCAGTTAGAGGTCTTTGCACCAAACGCCATGGTATTTTCAGGAAGGTCTTGGCTGGAGCATATATGGTAATGGCACACCTGGGCTATAGGATCATATATGCCCCTCCATCCCCCACCCCTCCATACTACCCACCCGTCATTAGCATCAGTAGGTGCCAGTCTGTCCTCTAGAGCACACGCTTTAAAGTTGATCAGAGCCTTTCAATTCATTCAGGAAAACAAGCTTAGAAACTGCATATTTAGCTGATGCAAGTTTAACTCTTGAGTCACTTAATAAATTGTGAACGAGCTACCATTTGTGGTCAATTGAACACTTCTTGTATTTGTGTCAAAACCAAATAAAGACAACTTTTCCCTATACAGTACGAACAATGTTGATTTGTGTACAAAAAAAGTGCCAGTTTTATTTACAAACTAGTTTTAAGTAAACTTTCAAGCCTGCTCTGGAGCAGTGAGGTTGCAGATCATGAGTCTGAGGCCACCTCCCTCTGAAGCCTGGACTGCGCCCAGCGCTAAGGTGAGTCACAGCCTGCCTGCAAAAGCCAACTGGGACGAGTTCTTCCTAACAATCCAAGCAGCTTTTGTTTGAAATAGGCTTTGTCTTTCTAGATAACGCTGTAACATCAATCAACAGGATTGACTGAGGTAGCTACACAGTTTTAGATGCTGTTAATGAACCTTAATGACAATTCATGGTGTAGCTTTCTTGATTCACTTTAGCTGATTTTGGGGGGGGAAGAAGGGGGGAAAATCAGCAAACTAAGAGCATTCAGTTCATTCAGAAGTCAGCATCCAAGGTGAAAGAATTCTCTGTTGGACTGGACATCACTCCCATTCTCTGATACTCGCCTACTCTCTTCTCAAAGAAGTTAGTCTTCCCTTCCAGTGAAATATTCTCCATGAAATCAAATGGATTTTCTACTCTGAAAACCTGGAAAAGTTCACATCAAGATATAAATACCAAACACTACCAATTTCCAAAAGGCTGCAGCAGGCTATAAGATGATGCTTTACCTTGCTAAACCCCAGCTCCAACATAAGCCTGTCTGCCACGAATTCAATGTACTGCTTCATTAGTGTGCAATTCATCCCAATGAGCTTCACAGGCAAGGCCTCTGTGAGGAACTCCTAGAGAACAAAACAAAGCCACTGAGTGTGTAGACTCGCAAAGACACCTTCCAGCAAGCTCCAGTGGCCCGCACCTGTCACCCACCTGTTCTATCCTAACAGCATTGATAATTATTTCCTTCACTCTCTCCTCCGACGGTTTGTGTACCAGGTGTTTGAACATCAGGCAAGCAAAGTCACAGTGTAAGCCCTGGAAGAAAGGTCGAGATCACCACAAAGCAGATTTCTAGCAGTAATGTGGAACGTGGACTACTCTTCATTTCCATGTGTGACTGGCCTGGCTATGCTCAGAGCACCACTGTGGAAAGGAAGACAACTGTCTACCTACTCTGATGTCCCTGAGGAGCTTCAGTCCCTCCCACTGCCCTCAAAGATACCAGCAAGTAAGATCCAGGACCATCCTTCCTTGCTGCTCAAGGGAGACAGAACTTTTTGCTCATCTTTTTTCATGTGTGCCAATAATGAGACTTGAACTCAAGTTCAGGATGTGCTCTTTGTGGGGTAACAAGAGGATTTGCCTGTGCTGGTTTTTGAACCCAGATCCTTAGGTCTCAATCTCCTGAGTAGTTAGGATTACAGGTGTGAGCCACAGGGCACCCAACGTGCTGGCCTTTGGTCAGCATGTCTCTAATTTGCCACTACTCCCAGCATGAACAGCCAGCCAGCTTCCAAGATGTGCAGGAACTAGTGATTCAATTTCTCTTTTGTGTGTGTGGGGGGGGGTGGGGGAGGCCAGTCATGGGGCCTGAATTCTGGGCCTGGTTGCTGTCCCTCAGCTCTTTAGCTCAAGACTAGCACTCTACCACTTGAGCCACAGCGCCACTTCCGGCTTTTTTCTTTTTGCTTATGTGGTGCTGAGGAATCGAACCCAGGGCCTCATGCATGCAAGGCAAGCGCTCTACCACTGAGCCACCTTCCCAGCCATAGTGATTCAATTTCAAGTGAGGAGAATCTGCATCTCCATTCATTAAATAAAACCCCAGTAAATGTCAGCGCTCATCTTCGGGAGACCAGCCATGTCTGATCTGCCCACTGAGCTCTCTGCCAAGATCATACTCAAGTCTTTCAGATAGGATTTTACTAAAAAAGCTGGCACCTTCGCCCTTCAGTGTAACCGAGTTCACACAGCAGACCCAAACACAGACCCTACTTCGTCAGGAAGCTTACCATCTTTTAAGAACAAAGGTTAACATACAATACCAAGAAAAAATAATCAAACATCTTTTCAAGCGCCCTTTGAATTTTGTGCATTCAAGCCCACAGAATAATGGCTATGAACAAATGCATTATACAAAGAATCTGAGGATTATCATACCATTAAGAGTATTGCCAGTACATGAGTATATAAACAGCTGAACTCACTTTAAATGTAGCTTATAGGACTGAGGGTATAGGTCAGCCATATATTACTTGTTTGAATCCCAGCACCACCACGAAATAAAAAAGCAGATATATATATACAAACACACTTATATACTATGTAACTTATGTAATTATATGTATATATTATTTATGTATGCCACTGATAGCTTGGGTCCCTGAAAGCAAACACAAGGGCATGCTAAGGGGTTGCAAGTGCTTGGGCACAGGCTAGCCCGTTTCCTGTTTTACCCACCTCGTCTCTGCTAATAAGCTCATTGGAAAACGTGAGGCCAGGCATAAGTCCTCGCTTCTTCAGCCAGAATATCGACGCGAAAGAACCAGAAAAGAAGATTCCCTCCACCGCGGCAAAGGCTACAACTCGTTCTCCTAGGTGGGGGGAATACCACAATGCTTCTGGTGAGGAACTGCTGGTATTGGCCACTACTGGACACAGCGCCATTCAAGGAGGGCCAAGGGAGTTCTTACCATAGGTAGCTTCTTTGTCCCCAATCCAACGCAGGGCCCAGTCTGCCTTCTTCTTCACACAAGGCATTGTTTCAATGGCATTGAAGAGAAATTCCCTGTGGGCATATGTATGTGAATATATGTGTATGTGTAGATGGATTGACAAGATCAACAATGATTAGACATCCAACCCCAAGCTTCAATGACAGAACACTGATGATCCACATTTGAGTATCTACAAATTCCACCCCCAAGGAAAGCCCCAGTTTTCCCCTCCAGACTTAAAAAAAAAATCACAATACTCATTTGTCTTTTGCCAATTAACTGAAATTTAAGTAAGGAGTCTTCAGTTCATGACCCCTACTTATTCCAAAACAGTTCATTATACCCAGAGCAATGGTCTATTTATTATTTAGTCTAGATCATAGGCTCTATCCTCCTTAAAGCTTAAGGACCAGAAAGTCTTGGCTGCCATTCTTTGCCAACCTCTAAATGGGTGCTCCCCAAAGGTGATTTTTCAGGTTTCAAATTGTCCAAATCTCTTTTCTGCACTGTCTTCTATCATGCTAGCCTAGCCTTCCATACTCAATTGTTCCAAGCAGGCCACAGAAGCCAGAGTTTAAATCTCATTCCATGTTTGGCTCCTCTCCTAAAACCTGCCCTAAAATCCACAAACAGCCCATTTCTGCCTCAGTCCTCTGATCCACCTCCACACAAATGTTTCAACTACCTGTATTTTGCTACCATTCCCTGATGTGAACTATCATTTCAGCCAGCTGCTCTATGCCTAAATCAATCTTCAGGCCCACTGCTGGCTGTATAAATGAATCCCCTTACACTTCTACGACTTACTTTCTATATTGCATTATTAGATTCTCAAGAGAATCATTTTATGTCTTCCTCCTATCATTCTGCCCCAGGCCTGAGGCAGGTTCAGTACTTTTATCTCAGTAAAGATAAGCTGCTGCTATGGAAGTGGCGCTGTGGCTCAAGTGGTAGAGCAGTGCTCGCCTTGAGCTGAAGAGCTGAGGGACAGCGCTCAAGCCTAGAGCTCAAGCCCCACGACCGACCAAAAAAAAAAAAGATTAGCTGCTGAAGCTGGGCACCGTAACCCTAGCTACTCAGGAGGCTGAGATCTGAGAAAGCCAGCCCAGAAAAGACAGTCCACAAGTCTTTCATCCCCAATTAGCCACCATTAAGCTAAAAGTGGAGCTATGGCTCAAGTGGTAGAGTGCTAGCCTTGAGCACAAAAGCACAAGGACAGTGCCCAAGCCTTGAGTTCAAACCTCAGGATTAACACCAAAAAACTTTCAAAAAGACATTAGGGCTGGGAAGGTGGCTCAGTGGGAGTGACTGCCCCTCATGCATGAGGCTCTGGGTTCAATTCCTCTGCACCATATAAGCAGAAAAAAAAGCCAAAGTGGCACTGTGGCTTAAGTGGTAGGGCTGCTAGCCTTGAGCTGAAGGACAGCGCCCAGGCCTCAGTTCAGCCCCCACGACTGGACATTAGTTGTTCCAACTGTAAAAATGGAAGGCAGGTGTGCTGGTGGCTTACTACTAGCTACTTAGGAAGCTGAGACCTAAGGGTCAGGGTTCAAAAGCCAGCCAGGGAATGGAAGTCTATGAGACTTTTCTCTCCAACTAGCCACCAAACAACTGGAAGTGGAGCTGTGGGCTCAAAGCGATAGAACACTAGCCTTGAGCAAAAAAAAAAAAAAACCCAGCTCAGGAGCAGCACCTAGGCCCTGAGTTCTAGCCCAAAGGGAAAAGAAAGGAAAGCTAACTTGGTTAAGCAATTGGTTGGTAAAGTGGTTTTAGGCCCTTTGCTCAGAGCAGGCTTGACCATAGGTGCTAGGGTGCTGGTGCTACAAGTATCTATGACTTAGTGTATTCTATAAGCCTTAACTAAATTACCCAGAACCAAAAGCAGTGAACAGACGCCTGTTGGCACACCCTCTTGCACACGCACCTTTCTTTGGAATCTTTAATGTACGTGTCAATCAGGAGACTGTACATTTCGGAATGAACAGACGCCTGTTGGCACACCCTCTTGCACACGCACCTTTCTTTGGGATCTTTGATGTACGTGTCAATCAGGAGACTGTACATCTCGGAATGTATGTTTTCCATGGCAATCTGGAAGCCATAGAAACAGCGGGCTTCAGTAACTTGTACTTCTTGGCTAAATCGCTCCACCTAGAGGAAATAAAACACAGAGCTAAGCTGAAGAACCTCATCTGCAGGGGTAACTCAGTCAGTGAATGCTGGCAGCATCACCCTCCCCTCTGTACCATTAAAAGGCTTCTTCTAGCTGGGCGCCAGTGGCTCCTAGCTACTCAGTAGGCTGAGCTCTGACAATCACGGTTCAAAGTCAGCCGGGGCAGGAAAAGTCCATGAGACTCTCATCTCCAACAAACTACTAGAAAACCAGAAGTGACACTATGGCTCAAGTGGTAGAGCGCTCACCTTGAGCTGAAGAGCGCAGGGACAGTACCCAAGCCAAGTTCAAACCCCACGACCGACAAAAAAAGTTTCTTCTAGCTGGATGCCAGTGGTTCACACCTGTAAATCCTAGCTACTCAGGAGGCTGAGATCTGAGGATCACAGTTCAAAGCCAACTGGGCAGGAAAGTTAGGACTTTTCCCTCTAATTAAACAGCAAAAAGCAAGAAATGGAGGTATAGCTCCAGTCATAGAGCACCAGCCTTGAGAAAAAAAGCTAAAAGTGCCCATACCCTAAGCTCGAGCCCCAATACCAGCACATATGCAAAAAAATTCTAGGTTTAATATGATTTTTCATGGTTTATTGATAAAATTCAGCATTCCATATGGCATGTGATCAGGAAATGGATATTTTGTAGGGTTCCTGTCAACACTTGATTGTTGACTCATTCTTTTCTAAGTCATTCTGCCAGTCAACATTGGGGAAAATACCATAGGGAAAAGCAACTGCAATGTGTTGTCAAATAAAATGGAACAAGAAAAAGGAAAAGTGCTTGAATTCCTTAAATCTTCAAGTCAATGGAAGATAAGTGTGAAAACTCACCAAGTTTTCATTCACTATGCCATCACTTGCTGCAAAGAAGGCCAGAATGTGAGATATAAAATATCTCTCCTCAGGCTTTAGGGCTTCCCAGTGCTGGATGTCTTTGGAAAGATCCACCTGAAATTCAGAAGTTGACCATTTTAGGAAGTGGAGCTGTGGCTCAAGTAGAATGAAAGCCCACAGAACACAAACTCCTATGGTTCAAGCCCCACGACCCATCCACCCACCCACCCACAGAAAAATAGGAAATTGGCAATGTTAGCAGATCCAAGTGTGCAAGAGCTCCGGCCAACACTTGAAAATTTGCTTCTGAAGTCGCCTACATACAACTCTTGATGACACCATTCTGCATCCCCCGTTCCCCTCCCCTAACACCAACCGTCCAGGAGGAATGCTAAGTGCCTGTCAAATGAAGTTCCCGCCAACCCCCCCCCCCGCAGGGTGTTCTGGACGGGATTACCTCCTCAGCTGTCCAAAAGGAAGCCTCGGCCTTCTTATACATCTGCCAAATGTCGTGGTATTCGATTGGAAAGACCACAAAGCGGCGGGGGTTTTCTCTCAGCAGCGGTTCGTCCTCCGCGCTGGGGGCAGCTGGAACGTTAGTTTTCTGGGGGGAGGGATAACAAGGATTTAAGTCTTGATCGAACCTACGGCACTGACGCTTCCCCTGGCCACGCACTTTCTCGTGACCGGCAGTTTCATGGGGTTCCGATGCTCATCAGCTGTCACACGGCGGGGCTCGAGCACCAGAGGGGGAGCGCGCCGCCGACGGCCGGCGGCTCCCGGGCAGCCCCG